CTCGGTGGCTATAAACCTGTCCGCGAGCTTAAGAAATTCGGTTATGGTCATTGGTTGGTTGACGACCATGTGCCACTTGAACTCCTTGTGCGTCACGCCTTTCTTGGCTGCTGCAAGGCGTACGACGGGGTCCAGGCGCAATATCTGCATACAAGCATCATTGAACCGCTTGATGTAGCCCCGGATGGACTCTCCCTCTCTCTACACTATGCTGAGGAGACTCTCTTCAGTTCGCGGACTCCGCTTGCTGGTAACGAAGTGGGACGTGAAGGCTTGCATGAACTGCGCCCAACTTCTTATCGACCCAGGTGCCAGGTTCCGGTACCACGTACAGGCTGCTCCTCTAAAAGTGGTGAAGAAGGCCACACACATGCACGACTCGCTGGCTCTTGCCAAGTGCATCTGCGATTGGAAGGCATCTACGTGATCATTTGGGTCGAACGACCCATCGTACTTGTCAAGAGGGGGGAGCTTAAAGTCTTTAGGCATTGGGACTGCCAGGAGCTCGGGAGATAGGGTGGATTGAACTGAAAGGATGGGGGCCTTGGCTTCACCTGAGCTTACTTCTTCTTTGCCTCCGAGCTCGGGCAGGTCGTGGGTGGCAGACCAGCGAGCTCGGCGGCATCGTCTCTGCTTCTTGGCGGGCTCGACATTCGTGCTGCTCACTTCTGTACTGTCAGGAACGGTGTGTGTAGGAAGTAGCTCAGGCCGCTGGTGATGGCTACGGACAGAGGACTCCTACTTGGAGCCTGCAACTAGGATCTCAAACCGGTTCTCTAAGAACGGGGTATCGGGCTTGGAGGGCTGAGACGATGTGGCCTTGGCGAGCTGGGGTCCTTCCGACCTGACCTCCCATGGCGAGGCTGGAGTGGCCGGCCTTTCCTGCCTGCTGCGGGAGGAGGCCTGGCTCCTTGGAGGGTTCCAGGGGGCCTTTCCTTGGCGAGGAAGGTGCTCTTGACGATGAGACCTAGCCTGCTGTGAGGCTGGGTGCCGAGGAGGGAGTTGCGATTGCTGAAGCTGAGGTTGCGACAGCTGGGGAAATTGCTGCTGATACTGGTACTGAGAGACCTGGTGTAGCACGTGCTGTTGGTAGATCTGGAACTGTTGAAACTGTTGCATTTGAGCCTGCATGGCCTGCATGCACTACACCAAGTCTTCCACCTGGTTCGGGCTGGCCGCAGGGGGCACAACCGAGGGTTCAGTGAAGGTTGTTCCAACTGCGGTAGGGAGTGGAGCAACGACGGGTGCCGCTGCAAGAGGCACTTCCAAACTGGGGATCCCATCCGCTGAGAGGGGGACGATGAACTGTCCAATACATACAGTAGGAAGCTGGAGTTGCTCCCTGGAGTTATTCATCTCCGTGCTTTGTCCGATGTTGCTAGAGGAAGCTATGAGCATTGAGTTTTTGGAGAGTAAGAGGATGTGAAAGTTTAGAGAAAGGATTTTTGAAGCGTTTTCCCACAGACGACGCCAAATGATGTAGCGCGATCCGGTCACTCCTAGCTGGCACTCACGTGGCTCCTAGAAGGTACCTAAGATGAGAAAGAAGAAGAATCTCCGGGGAGTTTACCCGGCAGAGATACTTCGATACTTAAGTTAGTACTATGGAGGAGAAGCAAGAAGGAGATGAAGGCTAAGAGTGCAGATAGCGCGTTCTCACTATACTTGAGAGATTAGAAGTCTCAAGAAGAAGTTTCTCTTCTGCCCTGAGGGCTTTTATAGGGACACTCACATCAGGTCAGGCATAACCGCCACTGGGCTCCTACAACAGCCGTTACCTGCCAGGGCTGCGCGGGTGGCCGTTGTGGCGTACGTCTCGCCCGGGTGAGTGACACGTTTCCAAAGTGGTAGGCACGCCTTTGTCTGCTGAGAGACGTGGACACAGACTGCCGAAAGGACTGGGACTGTGCCGTCAGTAAGGGATATGGTGCAGTCTGACCGGTACGGTTAGTCAATCAGGAGCTTCTTGGAGAGCGCTCGTGCGGCTCATTCGCGAGCTATTTTGTAGTGAGCTTGGTACACTCCAGGATTACCCTTAGCGGAATTGGTCCTCAGAATGACTTGTCTGCTTGGGAGCTCGAACAAGCTAATAGCTTTAGCTCGCGAGCTAAAGTTGCCTCGGAGTATCTCTTCAAAGGTAGCTCGGGGAGCCTGGGGTTCGTGTCGCGGCGAAATCCTCTTGCGAGCTACAACGTAGCGAGCTGCTTTGCAGGCCCGTCACTTGGTCGTACCAGGGTACAATGCTGAGCTGTCGCTCGTGCTGATTCAGTGTCCATGTGTCACCGTTTCATAGGTTGGGTCAAATCATCCTTTATCAGCCGTGATTCTAGTTTTGTAGCCCAAGGCTATACCAACGGGTATAGCAGATTGCAGTTTTTTTTTTAATACTCCTTCAATGGGTAAATGGGTAAGTGAATATTATCATTATTAATTCACGAAAAAACTAATATATTTTATTAGCCACAAGAAGCCATATTGAGTACATTTTAAAACCTCTCTTGACGTTTAGTAAGCACAATTATTTCTCTTCAACTTTTTGATACAGTTGCAAATAGACCCCTTCTTTTAAAATCCTCCAGTCTCTAACAAGAGGCATAAAAATGTCCTAAATACCCATACAATTACTATTGAAGTTGGTTTGTATAGACAAAACAATAAAAACTTTGTGAACAACAAAAGAAGAGATTTCAAAGTTGTAATTTTACCTTCCAACCATTGATATAAAGGGTAAATTTGAAAAATAAATCAATTTTAATTTAAAAATTGATGAAAAGGGTTTGGAAAAGAAATTGATATGAATAAAAATTTGAAAAAATAAACATTTTGACTAACTAATGTATATTTTGGACATCTTAGTGCCTCTTGTTAAAGGATTGTAAATTGTCAAACTTGAGAAAAGTTTCAGTTGTGGTTAAACACTTACATTGTGTTTGGTTTGAAGGAAAAAGTAGGGAAAGGAAAGAAAAGGTAGGGAAACCTTTACAAACCTTGTATGAGTTAAGTTTCCCTACCTTTTCCTTCAAACCAAACATAGCCTTAGGTGGAGGTTTTAACAATTTATTAAGGGATAATTACAGTTCAGTTTCCCTACCTTTACAATTTATTAAGGTTGTGCTTGGTTTGAAGGAAAAAGTAGGGAAACCTATACAAGCTTTCCTTTCCCTACGTTTTCCTTCAAACCAAACATAGCCTTAGGTGGAGGTTTTAACGATTTAAGGGAAAATTCCCGATTAGTACTCTATACTTTGGGCCTAGTGCCATTTTGGTCCTCAAACTTTAAAACGTGACAATTTAGTACCCAAACTTTTAAAACGTGACAATCCAGTACCTGCCGTTAACTAGCTATTAACCATCTGTTAAGTAGCATTTGAAAAAGACACAAATACCCATCAAGTGTTATTTAATTTCTTTATCAACCATTTAAATGTTGGCAAAAAATTAATAGTCCCAAATTGTTGCCTTTTCCATTCAAGAAAGTTGGGGTCATGTTTGAGTGGGCATTTTGGTGACACCAACTTTCTTGAATAGAAAAGACAAGGATCTGAGACTGTTAATTTTTTGTCAATGTTTGGATGGTTGATAAAGAAAATTAGATGACATTTGAAGGACATTTATGTTTTTCTTTCAAATGCCACTTAACGGTTGGTTAACGGATAATTAACAACAGGTATTGTATTGTCATGTTTTAAAAGTTCAGGTATTGAATTATCGCATTTTAAAGTTCGTGACCAAAGTGGCAGTAATTTTCCCATAATTTAATTATGTGCATCATTTCAATAACTATTTCAGATATGGACACGACTACGGCCTATGGGAATCCGCCTCCTACAAAAGACAAAGTGCCTGGGGTTCTGTGGAGAAGACTTCTATTCTATTAGCCACATGTAGTTCCAGATGCGTTTGATTTTTTTAGGATAAAATACAAAAACCTCCCCTATAGTTTTACTTTAGCAAAACCTCGTCTCTATTTTTGAAAAATTCAATAAATACCTCCTTTCTTTCAATGACCAAGACGGAAAACATTAAAGAGATGATATTTTTTCAAAATACCTATTTTACCCTTTTACGAATTAATGTGCATCTATTAAAATAGCCCTGTTTCAACAACTCCATAATCTGCTTGAACACTATTCACACGCAGGCTAGATTTGCACTAGTCCACCTAGTCCCGGTTGAACACTGCAATACCAACATCACCACCTACGCCATACGATTGCAACTAAGAGGTATAGTGTAGGCTCTGATGCCATTTGTTATGTGCCTTAGGAGAACTCACCCCTAAAAGCTAGCTGTTAAAGGGAGGGAACTTAGACACATATACACCCCACAACAGCATCCCATACTATCGATGTGAGACCAATAGATCATAGCAGAGGGTCTTCAATCTTTTTAGGGTTTTTTATTTTTGTTCTTAGTGTTAGAAGGATGACCTCAAGAAAAAAGTTACAGGTCCTATGAAATAATGTTTGCTTGTTCTCAGGTCTATAGGTAAGACAAAAGGAAAAAAAAAAAAAAAAACATAGAAACAACAGAAAATAAGCAGTCAAATATCCGCGGTTCCCCTCCAGGGTTAGTTTTAAGGTCTTAGGATGTTAAAGTATGGATTATAGAACTCTATATGTGCTTGTGTTAGAAATTTTGGTTTATTAGATCTAGGGAGAGAGTGTTCTCACCCTGAAAGTCAACCCTTCGATGTGGCCTTGATGGAGAGGTCTATTGTTGCTGTTTGAGGAAGAAGATGAATAGTATTCGAGACAAGGCTATTTTAATAGATGCACGTTAATTTGTAAAATGAAACTATAAGGGAGGTTTTTATGATTGTTAGAAATTTCAAGGGAGAATTTTGTATTTTACCTTTTTTTATTAGCAGATGCGTTTGATTTGTGATTGGTTGTTATCATTCTATCCGTGTTTGACTTTTCTCGCAGTCGCAGTATCTTCGGTATCAAAGATTATTTCTTTGTTCTACTATCAATCACACTTGATTTCTGGACGTTCAGATGACAGAAGTAATTCTTTCTGCTTCTGTTTCTTCTACTGTGAAGATGATATTATGGAACTTGAGCTCGCTAATCTTCCAGGAGTTTGCATTAAGAGAGGGTGTCTCAATAAGTGAACTGGAAATGCTTTATTCCACGTTATCACTGATCCAAACCGTGATTCATGATGCAGAGGAGAGGCAAAGTCACGAAGAAGCAGTAAAGGATTGGCTCAAAAGTCTTGGAGATGCGGCTTGCGATGCAGATGATGTGTTGGATGAGTTATTAGTAAGGGCTCTGCGTTGGAAAGAGGACAAGGGCATGATGAAAAAGGTTAGACAATTTTCTTCCCCTTCAAAATTAGTGTTTCGCTTCAAGATTGGTCATAAAATTAAAGAAGTTATGAGGAGGTTAGATGTGATTGCTAAATATACAGAAAATTTTAACTTCAAAATGTATGTAGTGAGTCCAAGACGTCGAGTGGAAAGAACACCCACTGATTCCTATATATTAATCGATTCAAAAGTTTATGGAAGAGAAGAAGATAGAGATAAAATTGTAAAAATGTTAACCAGCAGTGATGATAAAGATGAAATTTCAGTCATCCCCATTGTCGGCATGGGGGGGCTGGGTAAGACAACAATTGCTCAGTTGGCATACCGAGATGATAGAGTAGCAAGGTGTTTTAACCTACAAATGTGGGTTTGTGTTTCTGATGATTTGATGTGAAAAGGCTTGCTAGATCAATTATAGAATCTGCTACAACTGGTAATAAATGTGATATCTCAGACATGGATCAGTTGCAGCTTCGTTTGCAAGAGGTATTGCGGGGGAAGCTATTTTTACTCATTCTAGACGATGTATGGAATGAGGATGAGGAGAAATGGGACGAGTTGAGAAAATATTTTATGTGTGGCTCAAGAGGAAGCAAAATTCTAGTAACTACTCGTAGTTACAAAGTGGCAGAGATAATGGGCACAATGGTCCCATACGCTTTGAGTGGTCTGTCTGATGATGTCTGTTGGTCTTTATTCAGGGAAAGAGCTTTTAGGGGGGGAGAAGAAGAGACTAATCCAAACCTGGTTGCTATAGGAAAGAAGATTGTGAAGAAGTGTGGAGGCCTACCATTAGCTGCAAAAGCTCTAGGAGGTTTACTAAGGTCGTTTGATAGAGATGAAAGGACATGGTTATCTGTTTTATATGATAGCAATTTCCCGGAGGATGAAAGTGAAATCTTACCTGCCTTGAAGTCGAGTTACAACCATCTTCCATCATCCATTAAGCAGTGTTTTGCATATTGCGCAATTTTTCCTAAAGGCTATGAAATTAAAAAGGATGTTCTAATTCAGTTGTGGATTGCACAAAGCTTTATTCATGAATCATGTGGGAGAGGTATAGAGCTGGAGGATATTGGGAATGAATATTTCAATTACTTGCTAATGAGGTGTTTCTTCCAAGATATAGTAAGAGACGAGTATGGTACGATTTTAAGATGTAAGATGCACAACTTGGTGCACAATCTTGCTCAATCTGTTGGAAGGACGGAATGCATGTATGTTGATAATGAAAATTGGATAGAAAGTATTCATAGAAGGGTTCGTCATGTATCAGTAGTTGGTGATAGGAAGAAGGTTGCAGAAGTTTTCACGCCTCTTCACAAAGCAGAGAGTCTACGAACATTCCTTATATTGCACCCATACAGGTTGGATACCGTGGATGTTCCACATAACTTGTCCTTAAGATTTAAAGGATTACGTGTGCTTGATTTACATGGTACAAGTATTAAAAAGTTGCCAATTTCCATCAGTAAGCTTAAGCATCTACGGTATTTAGACCTCTCCGACACTCTTATTACCAAACTTCCAACATCCTTTACTTCCCTCCTAAATTTGCAAACCTTGAAGCTCTTACATGTTAGATACCTTGTAGAACTGCCTCGAGACTTGAGAAAGATGATTAGCCTCAGGCATCTTGAATTCGATGGTTGCTCTATGGTGAGTGAGATGCCATTAAGGATGGGGCAATTAGCTGGGCTACAGACTCTGACAAAGTTTATTGTTGGTAAGGAGGATGGTAGGACCTTAGCAGAGCTACAAGACCTCAATAGCCTCCGAGGACAACTTAGGATTGAAAGCTTAGAGAATGTAAGTAATGCAGTTGATGCAGTGAGAGCCAACTTGAAGAACAAACCAAACCTATGTAGGTTAGAATTATGCTGGGGATATTTTAGTTTGAAACAAAAGGTGGTGGAGGATGTGATAAATCGTCTACAACCACACCCAAATCTGAAAGAATTATCAATGGAAGGATATCCAGGAATACAAATTCCACCTTGGATGATGAAGGGTTGTTCCTATTGCAGGCTTGTCAAAATATCATTAAGTAGATGCCTTAAGTGGGAATGTCTCTCCCCTCTGGGGCAACTGCCTGACCTCAAGGAGCTTTCCATTGTAAAGATGGATGGGGTACGATACATAGGCAATGAGTTATTCTATCCTGATGATGATGATAATGCAGCGGCCATGGTAGATGCAGTCATATTTCCATCATTGATCAAGCTTGAAGTATCCTCTATGTGCAATTTGGAAGAATGGTCGTTGTTGGGTTTTGAGGTTGATGATCAAGGAGGAAATCGACAACAACAAGTAATATTGCCTTGCCTTCAATCTCTGTCCATCAAATATTGTCCCAAGTTAACAAGTTTGCAGTTGGGACATCTTGCTTCTCTTAAGCAGTTTGATATCACAAGATGCCCCAATCTAAATTGCATACCTGAAGATTCAATTACGAGCTTGAGCTCTCTCTGTCGTTTGTATATTCCAAGGTGTTTTACATTGTTGGGTGGGGCACTACGATGTCTCACAGCTCTTGAGGAGTTACATGTTTATGAAGAACCTGAGATGGAATGCTTACCAGAGAGCATGAAGGACCTCACCAAACTTGAACGTTTGGAGATTTGGGATTGCCCTAAACTGGGATGTTTGCCAGAGTGGATTGACAGATTGGTATCACTTCGAGCCCTCGAACTTGAGGATGTTCCAAATCTGAGGAATCTGCCAGCAGCAATAAAACATCTCAAATCACTTGATTCATTAGTAATAAAAAGATGTCCCCATTTACAGAAACAATGCAAGATGCGAGGTCCAGAGTGGCGTAAGATCTCTCATATAAAGCATGTATATATTTGAAGGATCATTATACATCCCATCATCCTCACACTATATGATAATAAGATGTAAATTCCTCTCCAGTGCAAGGCAAGTTACTTCTCTCATAATTTAATTCCTTTTTACTAGCATATATAGGAAAAATGGTCATTTCAGAATTGTCTCCTCTGATTTTTCATGTAATTCTTTTGCTCAAACGATTGAGTTCTGATTATTTAGTACCACTGTAATACCAATATCATTCGGTCTCAATGAAACAGAGCACATGTATTACAATTGCATGGCTGCTTAGAAATTCTGTTGCTTTCAATATAAATACCTTTGTTCTAAATGTCTGTTGCTTTATTCACTTGTTGTATGATGCATACAATAAATTCTTTCTTCTTAACGTTTTTTTTTTTTTTTGCTTAAGATTGTAGATTCATATTGAACATATACTTTCTCTTCCAAGCCTTAAACCAGTTTTGTATGGATAATCCCAACCGCTGTAATTAGGGGTGAGCATGAGTCTCTTCGGTTTGGTTTCATGGAAGAATCTGAAACCTACCCTGTAGGGACCGGTTCCAGGTTTTTAGAATTGGAACCTACCCCATGAAAGTCACTTCCAGGGTCAGTTCTAACCTTGGAGGTTCCAATGTCAGTTTCAAGGTCTACTTGTGGAACCTGTTTTTTATTTACTCTCCCCTTCAAAAGAAAAGAAACATCAAACATGTTCTTTAAAAACATAATTTTTTTTGATGAATTCTTTAAAAACATGATTTCAATAAATATAATATATAGTTTAAAACTTACATTATCTTTATTGATCAAATTGAGTAATTTAATATGTAGATTATCATAATATATTAATATATGGTTCAAAACTTGTCATTATAATTTAAATTTGTAAATATTACCTTTTACATTACTTATTATACCCATTCAAATATTAAAATGAAAACAAATGATCAAATCACTTAAGTAACTCAATGGTAAAGTGAGACCATGGTCTTTGTAACCATGATTGCTTGGGTTCAAATCTTTACATCCTAAAATGTTTTTTGGAGTTTATTCAAGGCAAGTTTGATTCCAAGGCTAGTTCATCAGGTCAGTTTGGGTAGGTAGGGTAAACCCCTAGATGCTGGAACCAGCCTAGGTTGAGGTTGATTCCAAGAATTTGGAGATAGACCCTACACTATAACAGATTGGACAGGGTTGGTTCAATGCTGATTGAGGTCGGTTCCATTCAATTCTGGGCAGAACCTACCCATTTTTTCAGCCCTAACTGTAATAGAACCTATGAAAACTTCTGAGTTCTCATTCAAACCAAAAGTTATATTATTGCTTAATCTTGGGTCCAAGGTTGACACATGGGTCTAGGGCCCATAAAACTTGCAATCTAGTTCATCAGGTCAGTTTGGGTAGGGTAAACCCCTAGATGCTAGAACCAGCCTAGGTGGAGGTTGATTCCAAGAATTTGGAGCTAGACCCTACACCATAACAGATTGGATAGGGTTGGTTCAATGCCAATTTGAGGTCTGTTCCATTCGGTTCTGGTTAGAACCTACCCATTTTTTCAGCCCTAACTGTAATAGAACCTATGAAAACTTCTGAGTTCTCATTCACCAAAAGTTATATTATTGCTTAATCTTGGGTTCAAGGTTGACACATGGGTTAGGGCCCATAAAACTTGCAATCTGTCAATGTTTTCAAAATCAGGGTCTATCATTAAATTAAAAGTTCACCAAGTGCATTAGCTAGGTAAAAATTCAATATTCAATGAAGATAATATCCATGGAATTCCATGCTTATAATTGAATGGTAGGAAAACATTTAATAAGTGTGCTTCCTACAAAGCTGAGTGACTTAAGGAACATCATATTTTTATTTTAGTTTAGCAAACAATGTATCGTATCAAAAGTGCATATTTTAGAAGAAATAAGATCATTTACTAAAACACCCCTTAAGATTTCACGAATTTACTAAAGTCTACCTTATATTACTTAAACTTCCCTCATTTTGTAACCACTTTACTTAATCAACTTTCTGTTAATAATCATTTGTATTGCCATTTAGGAATAGACATATGACAACCTAAATTGTGCAAAATGTTTAAGGGCATAGACCCATGATTATTTATTCTGAAAGTATTTTTAGCACTTCATATCAATTTTTTAGAAAGAAACAATGTTTGGCTTCCAGATTTATCAAATATTGTTCAATTTTAGTAGAATGAAGAAGAGAGAACAATGACATCTGGGTTTTTTGTCTATAACAACGTAACTTATCTCAAAACAAAGAACAAAACCGATCAGGGTGGTTGCCCGTGTTTTATTAAGGGCAAGAATGAAATTTCCATTTTTATTTTCTTTTGATTAAATTTGTTCAAATGGAAATTACTGTTAAAATTGTCATGTTCTATTGATTCTGTCTAATGGAAAGGTTGATTTAATAAAATGCAAATTATGGGGTAGGTTTTAATAAATCCATGAAATTATAGGGGTATTTTAGTAAATGAGAAAAAAGTCTCCATGCTTTTATTTTTAGGGTCATTTACTAGAACGCCCCCTATAGTTTCATGGATTTACTTGAATCTATCCTATAGTTTTCATTTTTCTAAAACACCCTCTATAATTTGCAACCAATTTACTTAATCGACCTTTCATTAAGAAGTGTTTGTTTTTTCATCTGAAAATAGCAACATTATAACCTAAATTGAGTGTAAAATGTTCAAGGGCATGGTCTCATGGCTGTTTATTCCAAAAGTACCCATTTTTTCATACAAAAAACAAAATTGACCAAATAGAACCAAATAGAGTGGCTGCTCGTATTTTACTAGAGGCAAAAATGGTATTTTCATTTTCATTGAATTTATTCAAATTTATATTAGGGTTAAAGTTGTCATTTTCCACTATCATCTAATAGAAGATCGATTAAATAAACTGATTGCAAATTATAAGGGGTGTTTTAGTAAAACAGAAACTATAAAGTGGATTTTAGTAAATAACCCTTATTTTTATTAGGAAAAGCAATGGATCATAGCTTTTGTTTTAGTACATGGAAGGAAGACAGAGTTAGGCACCGGGTAGCTCAGCCCCAAATATCAGACGAAGCAATTTCAATTGAGTCATCTCTGCTAATGGCTCGAATGCATCCCATATTTGCAAATTAGTCAGCCAACAAATTAGCTTCTGGTGTGAGAGTGTTTGGTGCTCATCCTTATTTCCTCTACTGTATCTTTTGTCTTTGATGAGAGATCTGATGCTCCACAAGGCTTCAGATTTACCTTGTATCTAGACCTTCCTTGCACCAAGACATTGTATTTGACCTTTTTTTAATCTTAACAATAGCCCTCTGTTTCATGACTATTTAGGCCCTGTTTGGCATCGTTTCTGTATATTTCTGTTCTTGAAAAAATTCCTGTTCTGGAACAGGAATCCTGTTTCTTATTCTTGAGAAATAGCTGATGTATTTGGCAATTTGGCAAATTGTTCCTAATGAATAAACAACATGAATAGTGAATGCATGGGGGGACATAACGCAACTGAACTTGGGGATTGATACTTAAAGATTAATTGGATCCACAGGCAAAGGAATCAAAGAAATTTTCAAATAAAATCAATGAAAATCTGATAGTTGCTCTATGAAGCACGGTTCGATAAACTTAATTTCTCAACTAAGTTTTCAGAGACAAGCGGTGAAAATCTAATGGGGCCTTAGATGCCTTGATGCATCAAAAGATTATTTTAATTTCATGCCTTGATGCATCAACTAAGTTTTCAGATTTTTATGCTTTGTATTTCTTTCATGTTAAGTGTCAAAAAAAAAAAAGTACTAGCTCATAACCTTGCTACTAATTTTAGGGATGGTGGGTTATCTCATACCTGGGTTGACTCTCCCCCTGATGTCATCGTTTATGTTCTTGATTCTTTTGATGCTTAAATCTGATCTGTTGTAGCAAAACAAAACAAAAAAAAAAAAAAAGAAAACACTTCTCATTAGTAGTAATGGTAGAATATCGTCACCATAAATTCTCTGGGGTTCAGATGTTTGTAATGGTAAAATCCATAATACAATGAACCCAAATGGATAGAATTGCTCGATTGATTAAGATTTAGGCACAGTTTAGAAGGGTATAAATACAAATATGTACAGCACAAATACAACACAAAATAACATATTTGTATTTGTACTCCTAAACTGGGCCTTGATAAAATTAAGGGTGAAAGAAAACTGACCCTCCATTACTGGTTGCGTGGTACAGTGATTCAAGGGATACCCATTATCAGAAATGCAAATCAGTCAAATTGACACTATTATGCATGCATTTTTTATTATTGTTAGAGTTGTCTATTTGTGAACAACAAGTTTTTTAGGCCTTTCTGATTATTTCTAGGCAATTTTCCATTGACACCATACCACGGAGAGCTGCAGTTCCGCAGGTATGATCCCATCCCTTCAATTTTGGACTGCTGACATCCAACGACCATCTCAACTAGTGGGTGGTGTAATGGTGAATTTGTTGTAGTAGATCCTTGGTCTATCACCTGTCAATCTTATCATATTAATTACCTTCTTATAAGTTCTTACCATGAAATTTTACTTTGTAAATGTTTTTATAAATTATTGATTAATGATATAATTTACAAGGTAAATATCTAAGGTGCAGAAATTGCACCATAAAATTAATAAAAAATCAGTGAATCAATGACAAAGAGAGACATTATATACAAGTGGAATATATCTCATGTAATGTAAACCAATGAAAAGTAGATCGTATCACAATGTGATTAATTAATTTTTTTATTTATTATGCAGTTTATTTTTTGTAATTGAACTCAAATTACAAGAAATAATATTGTATTAATCATTTGCATAAATAAAAATTTTATTTATAAAATTAACTTAATTTACATTAGTGTGTTTTTGTTAAGGCTCAGTTTGTGAGTACAAATACAAATTTGTAGAGTGCAAGACCTTATATTTTATATATATTTGTAGCAAGGTTCAAAATATCGATACGCTCGATACGCCGGTAGGGGTGTATCGGGCGAATCGATACTAATTTTTTTTACTTTTTTTTTTCTAAAACCGGCTCAAGGGGGCCATTTAGAGCTCCTCCACCCCTTGAACCAGTCAGACCCCCGATACACCCACTATAGGGGCATATCGGAGGGGTCCTAGAACGATACGTATCGGCCGTATTGGCCAATACGTGTCGATACTTTGAACCTTGATTTGTAGTGTACATATTTGTATTTATACTCTTTCCAAACTGAGCCTAAAATATTATTAGATGAAGTACTAGTATCACATGCTCTCTTTCCAAAGTTGGTATGTTGCAAGATTCCAAAACTGGACGTACCCCTCCCATATTCTAGTATCTTGCAAGATTACGAGAAGGAGTTAGCTCGGGTTTGCTCTGAACTGAACAAGAGTACATCACAGAGAGGTAAACAATTGGGTACAGGAAATGGTCTTTGTGTAGACCAAGTGACGGGGATTAATTTCCTCCAACCCGAGGAGACAAAGAGCTCCAAATTCTCTAAATAGGGAGTGACAACCAATTATCCTCGTTTGAACACCCCTCTTCACCCTCAGTTGACCTCAAGTATTTTTGTTAACTCTATCAATTCAGTTTTTGATACTGATGAGTGCTATGTGTCCCTTGTTCCAGATTCCTTTCCCAACCTGGTGTCCGAGGCCCATGGACAGAAAACCACGTACAAGGGGATAAGGAAGGGGAGGAAGTGGTGGAGAGAAGTTGTAGGGAGACAGATTTGGGAAATCATTAAAGGATTAATGGGTGAAGCGGAGAGGAAGAAACTATAGAGGGGGACTACAAAAGGGGTAGAAAGGACTAGTGATGGAGGAAATAAAGAAAGGAATGAGAAGATCCATAGGAGTGAGAAGAGTGGAACATTAGAGGAGGAGGAAACTAGTAATGAAGAGTCAGTTGCAGAATTTGTGCAAAAGCTAGGGTGCAAACTGAAGAGTCCAAATGATTTAAAAGTCTATCTGCATAAAAATGAGGATAGTAAGATGAAAGATGAGTGAAGTCGAGAGGTTGAAAAGAGACATTGAGGGGGACAAGAAGTTCGAGGTGAGAGGGGATAAAAGGAAAGGGGTTAAATAGAGGTTAGAGGAGTTGGGGTTGAGCTTGAGAAGTTAAAATGACAATCCTAAGTTGGAACGTGAGGGGCTTGGGCAGTGTTAGGAAGAGAGCAACAATTAAAGAGGCGAAGAAGTTTAACCCGGATGTGGTAATGCTCCAGGAGTCTAAAAGAATGAATTTTGATTGCAGATGGACAAGGAGTGTGGAGAGAGAGGGGGGTAAAGTGAGTGGCCGCTCCATCTTGGGGATCCTCAGGTGGGATTGTAACACTATGGAAAGAAGATATACTAATCGGTGTGAAGGAGCTAATATGTGATTATTCTGTTACCCTGAATTTCAGACAGGTGGAAGATAGGTACGATTGGGTACTAACAAATGTATATGGCCCCAATGACTATAGGTAGAGGAAGAAATTGTGGGAGGAATTGAGTGATAATAGGGGCCTCTGGGAGGAACCTTGGTGTGTGGGAGGGGATTTTAATGTAGTGTGGTTTATAGAGGAAACTAACCCCAGACAAAGAGTGACAACTAGTATGAGAAAATTCAACCATTTTGTGGATACTTTTGAGCTTAAAGAACTTCCACTCCTAAATAATAACTTCACTTGGTCCAACCTTCAGTTGAAGTCAATATGCTCCAAGCTGGATAGGTTTCTGTTCTCAACCGACTGGGAGGAACATTGGGGTAACCAACTATCTAGGGCACTTCCAAGAATTATTTCAGACCATTGGCCTATAGCGATATATAAGGAGGACTTGAGAGGTGATGTACCTACTCCATTCAGGTTTGAAAATATGTGGTTGACCCATCCGAGGTTTAGTGAGAAGATCAGGAAGTGATGGAAACAATCAAATCCGGTAGTAGAATGGGAGGGAATGAGGTTTCATAAGAAACTTCAATTTCTAAAATCATAATTAAAGGAGTGGAATAGGTTGGAGTTTGGAATAATAGAGGAAAGAAAACAAGTCTTGCTGGAGCAGATTGAGGATTTGGATATGAAGGAAGACAAGGGATACTTTGGAGAGGAAGACAGGAAGATGAGATGGGACTTAAAGAGGCAGATGGAGGATATTCTCATTAAGGAGGAAACAAGTTTGAGGCAAAAATCCAGGTGTAAGTAGATAAAGGAGGGAGGTAGAAACACTAGACTTTTCCATTCAATGGCAAATGGGAGGAGAAAAATGAACCTCATTTCAAATTTGGAAGTAGAATGAACAATCTTGTCAAACTCGGCAGAAATAGCAAAGGCCTTAGTAAATCATTTCAAATCTATATTTAGAATGCCTTTGAATGAGATGGTGTGGTTTGAGGGTTTGGATTGGCCGACTTTAAGTGCAGAGAATAGAGAGTGGCTGGAAAAGAGGTTTGATTTGAAAGAAATAAAAGAAGTAGTATTCTCAATGGATAGGACAAAAGCTCTGGGCCCAGATGGCTTTACAATGGCTTTTTATCAGGATTGGTGGGATATCGTGGAGAAGGATTTTAGGTTAGTCTTCGAGGAGTTTCATAGTAGGGGAATAATTAATCCGAGCCTGAACTCAACTTTCATTGCTTTGGTCCCAAAGAAGAAAGAGGCATCACAACCTAAGGATTTCAGACCTATCAATTTAGTGAATAGCTTGTATAAAACAATTGCAAAAGTGTTGCCTCTCAGGATAAAGAAGGTCCTTCCCTCTATTATTGCTCCCAACCAATGAGCTTTTGTGGAGGGAAGACAGATCACTGATCAGATCATCATTGCAAATAAGAGTTTGAAGAGCTTTAAGAAATCTAAGACAAATGGAATGTTTTGCAAATTAGATTTGGATAAGGCTTATGACCTAGTGATTGGTCTTTTTTAGTAGAAGTGTTGAGAAGCTTTGGCTTTGGAGAAAGGTGGTGTAAATGGATTTGGGGTTGTATTAGGACTTGTCACTATTCTATCTTGGTGAATGGAACGATGGTTGACTTTTTTCCTGCTCTGAGAGGTATAAGACAAGGAGACCCACTCTCCCCTTTTCTTTTTACCCTAAGTGCTGATGTACTTGGGAGATTGATACATAGATTAGACTTGAGGAATCTAATAAAATGGTGGCAAGTTGGAAGGGAGGAAGTACCACTGACACATCTCCGGTTTGCATGACACAATTTTGTTTTGTGAGGGTGAGAATATAAGTTGGATCCGGAATTTAAAATTAGCAATACAACTCTTTGAGCAGATGTCTAACATCAAAGTGAACTTTGATAAGAGTTGTGTGGTGGGGGTGAATGTGGAGGAGAGGGAGTTAAGGAATTATACAGGTGTGTTAAATTGTGCAATCTCAAATTGACATTTGACGTACTTGGGCCTCCCATTAGGAGATAATCCTAAGAACGAAAGCTTTTGGACTCCGGTAGTGGAGAGATTTGAGAAGAAGCTTGTGTCTTGGAAGAGAAATTATCTTTCCTTAGGTGGGAAAGTTACTCTGATTAGGTCTACCCTAGCTAATCTACTTGTTTACTATTTGTCAGTGTTTAAGATCCCTACTAAGGTCTCCAACTTATTGGAAAAATTAATGAGGAATTTTCTGTGGGAGCCTGAAGAGGAGAAGAGATATCATAGGGTGAGATGGGAGGTGGTAATTAGATGTAAAAAACTTGGGGGCCTTGGGATTGAAAATATCAAGAAAAAGAATATGGCGTTGTTGGGAAAATGGTTGTGGAGGTTTGTAGTGGAAAAGGAAAAATTGTGGACAAAGATCATGGCTAGCATACATGGGCTGGAAGACAACGGCTGGGATTCTAGAATTGTGGCAAGGGCTACAGCTGCTTCTCCGTGGAAATCCATCCATGATCTGCTTCCAACTTTCTCCCCTTGGATCAGGTGCGGTGTTTAACTCTGGTAATCGTATAAAATTTTGGGAACATCTTTGGTTGGGGCTTCACCTCTGAAGGACCAGTTTCCCTCCCTATATGCTCTGTTAGATTTGAAAAATGAACATATCTCTTCTTTTTTAGGTCCTTCAGACTCCACTTAAGGTTTTGGGTGGAACCTTGGCCTGCAAAGGGCAATTAAGGATATAGACTTGGACAGTCTCTTACCTTTGTTAGCCATTCTCGAGAATTTTTTCCTAAATCCTAATAGGGAAGACACCAGAATTTGGACCCCTTCCACCTCAGGAACCTTCTCTTGTGCTTCGTTTTTTGAAACCTTAACTCAGTCATATGTCCCTCCTGGTTTATCCTTCCCAACTAAGGAAATTTGGAGCAAGCCCATTCCTCCTCGGGTTGGTATTTTTTGTCGAAAATTTTTCCTGAAAAGAGTAAATACAAATGATCTACTTTAGAAAAAGAGACCCAATTATTATTTGCATCCTAATAGATGTTCTCTTTGTAAAGATGATGGTGAATCTGATTACCACTTTATGGTTTCTTGTAAAGTTATTAAAACTATCTGTGAGTGGATATTTTCCCACTTTGGGTGTTCTTGGAACCCTCTCAAAAGTGTCCAAAGTTTGTTCTCCCCTTCGTTTTTCAGATGGCCTAAGAAGCGAGGAAAGATGATATGAAGGTGTATTAGGGCAGCCATGTGTTGGTCTCTGTGAGAGGAAAGAAATTCTCGAATTTTTTTAGATAAGGAAAGATCCCTGGAAAACCTATTAGACCTAATACTTTTAAGGGCTGCCCACTAGCTAAAAACTACAGAATTGTTTTCAAACTTTCCTATAGCTGACCTGTTAAGAAACTGGAAAGAGATATCAACCTCTACTTTGTGTAAGAGGACTCTTAGTCCCTCGTGGTCCCCTCCTCCCTCTGGATTTATAAAATTGAACTTTGATGGCAGTAACCTAAGGAATCCAGAGCCCTCTGGGATTGGGGGTGTTTTCAAGAATGAAAAAGGGATTGTTATGGCCTTGTTCTCAGGCCCCATTGGAGAAGGTTCTTTTAGGGCTGAGATCCTTGCAGCTATGGAAGGAGTTCAAAGAGCAAGGGAACTAAATATCAGTTGGCTGATATTGGAAGGCGATTCAAAAGTGGTGATTAGCTGGTTGAAGAAAGAGGGCAATGGTTTGTGAAGCTACAATAGTGAAAAGAAAAAAATTGTATGGTTGTGTAGGGGCATTGAGATACAATATAGCTAGGTGAAGAGGACCACTAATTCTTTTGCAGATGGGTTGGCTAAGCAAGGGGTGAATAGGGAGTCTATCTTTTAGGCTAATTTTTAATTTCCTTTCATTGTAATGTGTTGTTGGAGAGCTAAGACTTTTTATCTCCCCCTTATTGTATCTAAAGCTTCATAAATTTTCTCTTAATTAATAAAGTTTCTATTATTGATAAAAAAAATCCACTTTTTTTTACACCGACCAACTTTGAGTCTGAAAGTTTACACACAAACTTCACTCTTGTTTTAAATGCAAACATGTCTAGGAATTCATGCTTACTGTCATTTTCAATACACAAGTACATTGTTATCAGAAGCCTATAAAACCGGACCAGAGTGCATAAATGCATTGAGCCTACATTTGCATTCCTTAATCCTTCTCAAATAAAGCCTTAGTTATAATTAATTCAAACTCGTATTTTGGCCCTATTCATCTACAGGTAAACTTCGGGGGGAAGGGGGGTCAATGGGAAAACTAACTTTTCCATGTAAGGGTGTCAATGGATCGGTTTTGAAATGGACCCCCGTCCAGTCCAAAATCAATTTGGACAGATTAAACGAACCAAAAAGACATTGGATTGGACCAAGTTATTTATTGGATTGGAGCAAGACATTGGATCAATTTGTCCAGTCCAAAATATTTATTAGATTGGATTAGACCTAATCCATCCATATTAAATTTATATTGGGTTGAGTTGGATTAAGCCAATATCTGGTCCAAACATTGAAATGGACCGGTCCAAAATAGTCCAAAATATTCATTGGATTGAATTGGACCTGATCCATTTATAATGGATTCACATTGGACCGGATCGGATTGGACCAAATTCAGTCCAACTGACACCCCATTTCCATGTTCTTTTATTAATAAATGTAAGATCAAAGTAAAACAACTTTCGTCTAAGCAAGTTATTTGACAACTTACCCAAAAAAAGAGTCTTACCCTTCTCTCGGGTGGATAAGCTATTTTTCCACTTGGAGAGAAAATTGCTAAAATTAATGAAAAAAACTCCCCATTAATAACAAAAAAAAAGTATGAGAATAAATATTACTTGAGAAACACTTAACCACATTTACGTAAAAAATGGGCTTAGTATTATTATGGATTTGTAGACATTTTTAATATATTTATAAATATCCAAAGCATATCATGACAACCATTTAAAAATTAATCAATACAATATTAGTATATTACCATAACAATATTTTGAACCTTACCTTCTGCGAGGTCATTCAAAACTAAAAGGCTCTAATACTAATGCACAACAGCATGGATTATGAACGTAGTTCTTTAAAAAAAGTATTTACTAACTTATCAAAAACATGGTATTTACTTAGTAAAGTGGATGGTTTAGGGCAAAGCATATGACCAAGTCTAGTCTCACAAGGTGCTGTAAACATCAGATTAGACCCGGTTCACTGCAACAGCAAAGTGACATTCATACAAAAGGTCGCAAGAATGGTCTTGGACGCTTGGATAGGTCTAGTTTTGCTACTTCATTTTTCCCTTTCTTTTTTATATTAATATAGTCAGCCCAACATTAAATGCTGAGACAGTTATACAAGTTCTGCAATATACATTGTGTTGACAGCCAAAAGAATAAAAGCTTTAGAGAGAGAGATTGGTGAGATGGGAAATCCCTCCTGTACATGCTTCCAGGTGTAACCAAGCTGCGTATAACCAGTGAATCTGACCTCTTGTTGGTAAGAAAAAAGAATATGCACAATTATTGTACAGAGCCTTCGCTTGCTTCCCTTCTGTTTCCATGTGGTGGTCACAAGATCAAACCCAACCACAAGGCCACATTTCCATTGCTAATACTCTTAAATGTCGAGCTTGCACTCCACTGCAAATCCAAAAACAATCTGGGCCCAACACCAAATAATATTCGTCCAAAATTTTGGTCTCACTTCTTTTCCCAAATTTTATCAAGTTGAAGACTGGCTAGGAGGTGAAATCTCTTCCTCCACTCCTGCTTTAAAACCAGGACTGTAATCATACAGAGGGTAGTCAGTAGGTTCAGAAGCTACTGCTGCAGCTGCAGTATATGCAGGTTCAAGGTTGTCATTTACACTCTTCTTCGGCCTCTTTGGTCTCTTGGGCTTCTGTTGTTGCAAGTCTGTAGTCCTCTGAAGGTCCAACTCGTAGTCCATTGAGTTGGGTTCATTAGCTCCAATAGAAGAATCACTGTTTTTGGGAGCTTTCCGTGCTTTAGGAGGTGCATGCTTGTCGGCGTTGGCTTTCCTCTGCACACAGATCATTTGTGTAAAAATAGATGAAACCTGCAATTTAATGGGGAAACTTTGGCTGTTTGGGCCAAAACAGCCTATGGTCCATATTGATCTGAAACAAGATTAGCTTCATGGTTGTCAAAACTGGACTGGACGGTCAGACCACAAAAATCCAGAACTGGTCACCTGACCAGTTCCGTTTTACCCCAAAACCGCTTTTTGGCCAAAACCATTGATTTGGTCAGCAAATCGCTGACCCGGGCGGTCCAACCGTCAACCAGGACAACAGTTTTTGTCCTTTTTTTATTTTTAAAATTTTTATTGTCAGAGCGGGCCACCCATTCGGACCAGATGGTTGGAACGTTCAACCCAGGAACCAGACAGCAGAACAGTTCCCTGCCGGTCCGGTTTTAAAAACCTTGATTTGCTTAGTAATAAATGATTTCATTGCTCTGGTGCTACATTATTGTATTAGCTCATTGAGATTGATTGCATAGAAAAAGAACATGCACCAGTGCCATGACCTCAGAATATGGTCTCTATTTCATTTATGTATCTACTTAGTGGTAGGGATTGATGATAGATTCAGTAAGCAAACCTTTTTGTTACTAGCCTTGCCACCCTCCAGTTCAGAAGTGGACCTATATCCAGCACCCTGTGATCCAATGTCTGCAAAATCTTCCAAAGATGCATCCCCTTCTGCATCTAGTCGTATGGCCTTTGTTCCACGTTTCTTCTTCTGCCGATCCTTACTCTGGCAGGGAAAAACAAACAAGAATAGAATAATTTCGTAAATTTCATGCCTTGCAAGTTGACTCCATTATTCAGGGAAGATGGGGTGATCATAGACCGGGCAGATCTAGGCCTAGAACCTAGGATGCTATGTCTAAAGGAAAAGGATCTACAAGCTTAAATAGGAAGAACCAAATAAAATCATCAAGCAAGACCTGCACATTTAAAATACAAAGAATAACAATCTAGACCTACCTGTAATGGAACTTCTCTCAATTTTTGCTCCAACTGGGCGTCATCAAGAAGCAAGGAAACAACATCCTCAGGAGCCAATAGATCGCCTTGAACATGGCCACCAGTCATGACCAACTGCTGCACAGTGTTTTTCTGACTCGCTCTTTGCAGAATCTTTTCTTCAACTGTCTCCTTACAAATCAACCGATACACAGTAACCTATACAGCAAAAAATAATGTCCAGTTACAAAGGCAGTTGTCTGGCAAATGCTCAAATATGTAATACCTAAATACGCACATAAAACATACTAGAAAGGGAGCATCTTGTGTCTGGCCAGTGGCTACATAGGAGTGATAATAAAAGGCGTGCCTAGGCGCACAAGCGAGGCGCATTTTGGGGTATGCGCCTCACCCAGGTCCTAGGCGCACCCCTTTCAAAAGGCACACCAGCCCAGGCGTGCACCTTTTTAAAATTTTGCGCTTTTTGCTTTTTTTTTAGTCTAACGGCTAGGCGCATACCCCCTATTTGCTAATGTTGTTCATTCATTTATTGCAATAAAATATCTTCTTAAAAGGCAATGAAAGTTATAAAATCATTATTTTTTATGTGAGAAATAAGAATTTCAGACCCTAACATAGACTTATTCGGGCTTGCCTCGAGGGGCATGCTACAAAAGCGACTCATAGAATCAAGAATGCAATATGTTTTACATCACATTAACTACTCAGGCGCAAATTGGCCCTTGCGCTTTTAAAACACCGATATTATTAGGACCTATGTGTGAGGGTTGGGGCCTTCATAATTTGCTACCAGTCATGCTTCAAGAACCAGGACAACATTGAATGGGTTCCATCTAAAAATATGCTCATGTTAGAGATCAGTTTAAATAGATGGCCTTTTAAGTTTTAGCCATCTACAAAAATGCTGGTCCCAGCTATCTGGGGTTTTAGAAGGGGTAGAATCATAACTGTCAGCATTTTTTTATCCTCTACAAGCTAATGTTTGGCCCAGCCATTCTTTTGAAAGGTATCTATTTGATGGTGCACTCAAATGCTTGAACAAAAGTGAACGAAAACGATACCAATACTATGTTCTTCAAATAACTTGAGTGTTTTGTTTGAACAAGTTCAAGGGAATAAAAAGATTAAAGATAAGAAAGAAGTGGAAAAAATTCAAGGGAAGAAAAAAAAAAAGAGGCAAGGTGATAAAGAAAAGGGTTCGACTATGATACCAGAAAATTTTCCGGCATCATGTCTTTACAGTAGCATAGATTTTTCCTAAAGAAAAAGGCTTCAATCATCCAACAATGAAGTCCAAGAGACAGAATTTTAGAAACATTACACACAACAATATTTCTGGATTGTACTTGGCTTTGGTTAGTTCCCTGATGATGGGATAAGAAAGTTTATCCCCCCTCTGCATTGTACTTGGCTCTTTCTTCTAAAGTTTACTCATTATTGATCAGAAAAAAAACAACGACAATATTTCTGGACAAGTAATTGTCTTTCCCTTTCCCAAACCGAGAGCTGATATTTTACAGGATTTATTGAACTGGAAATATAGGCAAGTATAGATCATGCATCTTCAAAGAGAAAGTGAGCAGAGGTCCACAATCCAAGGGCTAACTACATGATTGAAGTTTGTTTTAGTTTAATAAATAATTCAGCCTGATTTCCAAAGATCTACATTCATTAATGGGATTCCAACAGTCAATATTTGTTATTTATCCCTTTTTCTTAGATTTTTATTATTTTGTCCATGACATCTACCAACAGACCACTCTTAAACTACGCAAATAACAAAAAATGACTACATATAATCACATTTGACCAACCTTCTTATCATCTTTGAAATGATTCTTTAAAGGATCATGTTCTGGAAACTAGTACAGAGTTCTTAGATATTCCTTTTTTATATATTTTTGAGAAAGGGTTTCTTAGATATTCTAGAATGCGGTTAAAATGTTGTGCTATGTGTGGCCTCTTGTTTCTTGAAGTGCAGTAATGTAGTTGTCTACATACAAAGTTGCTCTATTGCACCAAGCAGAAGAGCCCAAGAAAGGGAAACATGTCACAAGCAAATGGTGAAAAGAGGATCTGGTGAACCATCAAGCCAACAAGTGTGTGCTGTTGGTATTCATAAAATCTGAGTAATAGACGTTAACTAACCTCCTTGGTCTGGCCTAAACGATGTGCTCTATCCATTGCCTGTAGATCCAGGGTGGGATTCCAATCACTTTCATAGAAGATGACAGTATCAGCAGCTGTCAGGTTAATACCCAATCCACCAGCTCTGGTACTTAGCAAGAAGACAAAAATGTCACTCCTGTATCAAGAGAGAAGTCACTTTTTGGTTATTGTCAACTCTAAACAACTGCCATGAATCGTGATGATAAGGAAAGCAGAAATAAAAACCATGATACTAGCAATACCCACCGATGCTGGAAATCTCTGACCATGTCTCGACGATCCATGATAGTGGAGGACCCATCAAGTCGAAGATATCGATATTTCCTATAATTCATATAGTCCTGCAAATAAATATATGGAATCATCACCAACACCAATTCCAAGAAAACATCAAAAAGGTGGCTAAACAAAATATCAGAAGGAAACTAGTTCCAGAAGGCAGAATAATCGCAACATTTTCTCCAGGCTCTGAATGTATCAAGGCCATGGAGTGTGGTGCAGCTTGTGGCCCGAGTTAGAGCAAAACTACAAAATGTATATGCACCATAAGACGAATCTTGTCATATGATGATTCACACAAATAAATGCAACTTAGTCTTTACATCACAGCACAGGATTGGGAAATAAAAAGAACGTGTTGTATTCATCTCAGGGATAACTACATCTTGGGATTTAATGGGCCCTGCACTGGAAAAGGTATTAGAGACCTTCACCAAAAGCAACACTTATCTCCTATCATTGTTCAAATTGCTAGATGAAATTCCTGAATCTTCTCAAAGAGTAGCCTTTAATATTAGCCATCCTTGTAGGAGCAGATGTCCATGGTGCTATCTGCCTATCTCAAAATACCAGTGATTAGAAAGGTGTGCCTTAGGAGCAGGTGAGGCGCATTTTAAGGGATGTGCCTTGCCTAGGCCCCAAGTGAAGCACCTTGAAAGGGTGCACTCCTGGTGCACCTTGAAAGGGTGCACTCCTGGTGCACCTTGTGCTTCAGCCTAGGCATGCACTTGGCGTCTTTTTTATGCCTAGCGGCTGGGCCAGGGGTGGAGCCCCTGGACCCCCAACCAAACCCCTTGAGGCAAGCCAGGGTCTTAAATTCTTAATCCCTATGGAATATATATATATATATATATAATTTTAATTCTCTTTTAGACATATCTTTTATAAGAACGAATGAATGATCAACATTAGCAAATAGGGGGTTCTACTTCACTCCACTTCGTTCACTCATTGAAGCTCCGAGAACCCCTATTTGTTATTTGCTAATGTTGATCATTCATTTATTCTAATAAAAGATATTTCTAAAAGAGAATTAAAATTATAAAATCTTTTTTAGGGATTAAGAATTTAAGACCCAATATAGAGTTGGTTGGGCTTTGCTTCAAGGGGCTTGGTACAAAAATGGCTCATAAAATAAGGAATTATGTTAGTTATTTGAAATAATGCAATTGGGAAAGAATTGAAAGCTTGACATGCTTGAATATGTTTTATATGTTACTTTTTACTATATTTTTGCATTTTCACTTTGATTATATTTTATTTTAATTTGAGCTAATAGGCTTTTTAATATATTTATTTTAAAATTAAAGTTTGCTTTTTTTAATTAACATTATTTTTTATATTTCTTAGTTTATTTTGAATTTAACATTTTTTGCAGTTTTTATTTTTAAAATTCTGTGCCTTGCTTCAAAAAGGTGCTTGCCTCACCTTGCATCTTCAGCATAAAATGGCCTTTGCACATTTTTTTGTCCCTTGTGTTTTTAAACACTACAAACTACTTAAATTACAAAGAGAGAAGGTAACAACACCTATCTAGTACCCCCTATTAACACAGATTGTGAAAGGCTGCCTCACTTGGACAATCTTTGGTTTCGGTAAAAGTTGTTCCACCACCACAATACAGCAGGTAATTTTCACAAGTTGCTTACATTGAACCACCTAAGCAATCATGAGATAGGGATGAAGAGATGTAATCCTCCAAGACAGTTTTTCATCATATACACCTCTCAAACCAACTATAGCTCACTACATTCTCCATGGATTCAGAAGGGAGGAAAAGATCACTGTAGAGCTGAATAGTGACTTAAGAAATGGGGCATGCTCATGTATTATTACTGGTAGAACTACAAGCCTAACTCAAGGTAAAGTTTAGATGGCTGTGAGCCTGTGACAGAGATTTGCCAAGGTTGAGAGCAATATTGTCATTTGAATATTCTACGGTGTTGCTACTAGTCAGACTGAATAACCAGCAAATTGAAAAGGAACTACTAATACCTCAAGAATATTTAACATTTTTGTCATTTGTGCAAACAATAGCACACGGTGGTTTTCAGCTCGCAGGCGCTTTAATAAAATATCCAGCGTCTGAAGCTTTCCAGAGTCCTGATTAGAGGTAAAGTCAAAAAGTTGCAATTTTAATCATCAAAGCAAGACAGATATCATCAAAAAACACAAGATAAAATGGAAACAGAAAGGAGCAAATAGCTTTACTGTAAGCATCTTTGCAGGGTCAAAGCTTTGCACGGGAGGAGAAGACCCAAATATTTTGTATGTTAGCTGAAGAATGGGCCGTTCAACAGGTAGCTCAGAATCAATTTCTTGTACCAAATGATGAGGACCATCAGGCTTTCTAGGTCCATTACATTCTGATGTGCGTGCAAAACCAAAGAAAAGCCTTTTAATCCATGGGTGGTGTAATTCCTCTTGCATTTTGTATGCAAAGTTTCTATCGGAACAATGAGCATTTATCTGTCAAGACAACGAGAAATAAGTATGGTTGATCAAGCTATTTCTGCAAATACATGCAAAAACACGTTAAACTTACAGGGGGAGCTCTGGCTCGTGGGATGAAAGCATATGTTGAATGAAGTAGCTTGGTATTTTCTGCAAGCCTATCCTGATGAGAGACAACCAGGGCTTCATATGGGGCATGGCCAGGACCAGTTGCAAGTTTCCTTCTAAGCAACCTAGACTCAGATCTAGAGGGCATCAGTAACATCCTTGTAACAGCTCTAACTGTTCCCCTCTCGAGGTAACTATATTGAATATCATCGGCCTCAGATTCCATGAATAAATCCAGCATGTCATCTAAAAATTGTCTGTCACATGTCATAATGGAATGTAACAGCCTTTCCATAAAAGAACCATTTGCCTGAAAAGCAAACTCTTCTGGCGATAAATCCATCAAATGGGTAAAACCAAATGTTCCACTTTTAAGAAGGGAAGACTCATCTGATGCTTCATCTTCTGGAAGTACAGAATGATAAACATTCTCTGTAGAGAATATATTGAAAAGCTTCTGCAATGATTCTCGTTGGATGCCATGACCAAATACTGAGGGCATTTCAAAACTTTCAATGATTTCTCTATGAATCAACTTTGGTACCTAAGGAGAAAAGATATAAAAATAATGTATTATTTTGTATATTTGTAATAATCACAAAGGTGAATTACAGTTCCAGAAAAGTACCTTATAAGTTATAGGATTCCAACCACCAGCATAGTGTATGTCCTCCAACTCCCCAAAGGGAGGAGGCAGAAGAGGATTTGGGATCATTCCAAAGTACAGGTATGTGCTCCCCTCATTCCTTTCAAACAATTCAGGGTGGTTGCACACCTACCATTACACAAATAAATCAAAGAAATAAATGTTTGTATTCAACAACATGAAACAAACACCATACCACTGATTGAGAGCAAAAGAAGGTCCCTTTGTAGCATATTTCTAGTAAAAGAACAAACTGGGAACCCAAACAAGACTAATACGGTACCTTCCTCAGCTGGATGACAATATTCATGAGGTTAAGAATTTTCTTCTCATTGAGATGTCCTCGGCTTCCATCAAACAACTCAGCAAGAGATATCTTATTCTTTATAGCTTGATAAAACGCTTGCTGCCGAGAACTTAATTTGCAGTGCACTGTGACCTCTGTTTTTCCGGTCATCTCAGATATCACATCTTTTTTAACTCGCCGTAACATAAATGGCTTCAGAACTGCATGCTGTCAGAAAAATAATCACCAAGAGGTAAGGATCGGGAAAGGTACAGCATAAGGTAATTATAAGGCTGTCAACGGGTCAGGTCTGGTTTAGGACAGCCTATACCAGTCATGGACCGATTCTTTAAGCAGGATAAAAGTAAAACATAGACCCAGAACTGTCCCCAATTAATAATCGAATCTGAAATCTTTTAATATACTAATAACAATTACAACACTTTTTTATCGATGGAAAATCACATACACATACAACACACTTTTAATACTCATTTTTTATAACTACTATAATACTTGTAAGAAACCAGCTATCACAACTTATTTAAGGGTAATGGAAGAAATAACAAACATAATCAGAGACGAGAAACACAAGTATAAAGTAATATACATAGTGCAGGAAAACACAATGAACAAATGAAAGTAGTAATGTCAAAACTCATATACATTGGTATGTGCATGTTTTTAGAGGGAAATTTAACCAAATTTCATTAAAGAAAGAAGAGGTACATGATAAGATGAAAAAACCAGGGGAAGATCCCCAAAAGATTACAAAGGAGGAAGCCTGTCACTATACAAATTATCCAAATACACACCACATTTATACATTGGTAGGTGCATGTCATACCATCCCTCAGTAACAAGTTACCCAATTTCATTAGCCACTGAAATATCATAACTAAACACCCAATTTCACTAGCCACTGAAATATCATAATTAAACCTCCACTTACCAGTCTGTTAAGTTGATGTTCATTCAAGGTGCCTCCATGTTCTGCATGATTCTCAATGCTGATGAACACAAGGTTGAATGATGAGTGAACCTTGTCAGCTTAAGTACTCAAATTAACTAATGATTAAAAAAAAAAACGGCCAAGGGGGCACATACCCTTTTGAAAACCACTCATTGAACTGCTCATGACTGTCAAATAAGGTGGGCATTATGAAATGAAGAAGGGCCCACAGCTCTGCCATGTTATTCTGTATGGGTGTACCAGTTAGAAGCAAGCGATTTCTACAATTAAAACTGAGCAATGTCTTCCACCTTATACTGTAAAGCCAAAAAATTCAACTCAATTATACATAAATTAGAAGGCATAAGATAAATAAACTTCATATGATGGTAGAGAATTAAAAATTGTGAGGGATATGCTGAAACACTTGTCATCTACATGTGAATATTATGGGTGCTAATGTACACAATAAATGAATAATGCCACATACAACCATATAAATGTAACTCCAATGTAGATGCATACAAGAACGTAACTAAAAATAAACAAACTATAAGCAAATTAAGAAAAGTAATGTAAACCCTGAACCAAGAGAATCATGTCAACTTTTATCTGCAAATGTATCATAGTGAAGTTAGTAAATTAGAAGATACATACTCGGATTTGTATGAAAAAGCCATGTCAACTAAAAGAAATAAAGAAAAGAAAAGCAAACCTAATATATGGTCATAGCAGATTCCACATACTGCTCATGATTTTCTTCACTTCAGCTTTCTAAATATTGGTAATAATATCAGATATCAAGTACAGTGTAATTTATCACTTTTTCAATGTTTTAGAATATCAGCCTCCTGGAATTGTTGAGGTGAAAAAGGTTCTAAAATTGGCAGGTTAGATGGTGCTCAGTAGGAAACTGAAAGCATATACAAAATGCATCCAATAATACAAATATGTTACCTCTTCTCAAATAAAAATGTAAAAGAGAAGAGAAAATGCAAATTCTAATGAATCTAATCCCAACAAATCATTGAATAACACAAACAATTTAAGAACTAGCAGCAAAACAATTTGGACGATGAAGTTTTACCTGTTTGAACTTTTAATTGCTTGAGCTTCATCTAACACCATATATTGCCATTTCACACGACGGAAATACTTCTCATCAGATACTAGCAGTTGGTAGCTGGTAATCAGTATGTGGAATCCAGAGTCCCTGTAGGAAAAATACGAAAAGACAAAGAATCATGTAGTGAACAACTACACTTTGACACAAGAGAAATAAGGCATAATAACCAAAGGGAATAACAAATATGAAATAAATAACTAAATAAAATTAAGGGTCATTTACTAGAACACCCCCTATAGTTTCATGGATTTACTTAAACCAAGGTTCAAAATTTCAACATGTATCAGGCCATATCAGCTGATGCATATCGCATAGTTGTCAAGGCAATGCCTAAGCGGGGGCACCTAGGCGACAAGGCACCTTGGAGGCTCGCCTCGCCCAGTCGCCTAGCAGTTTTGTATACTGTCTTATAAAATATTTTTATATTGTTACTTTTTTGAAATTATAATTATAAAATAGACATTATTAAACAAAAATATTCATTTTTGTGTTTATAATCTAATTTATTTTTATTATTTTCTTATTTGTTAGGGTTTAATCAACACAAACATTGCTAACTGCTGTATTGAACCCTCAAAGACTTCAGAATTTGAACCAATAAGTAAGGGAAAAACTTAATGTTTTGTCTAATCAACACATTTCTTCCTCCACATCTCCTCCTCCTCCTCCTCCTCCTCCTCCTTCTTCTTCTTCTTCTTCCACCTTTTCTTTTCTTCTTTTCCTATAACAAAAATAGGGGTTCAGTCCCCATATTTTTTGAATTTTCTTTTCTTTCTTCTTTTTCTTCTCACAAATATGTTGACTTTCTGGACATAAACATGAAGTTTATAATTTTCTTATGAAAATTATGGGTTGTTATTAAGGAAAGATGGTTATAGAACCTAGGGAACTACCTAGGATATGTATTTTTCACTTAAAAAAATCCATTGCCTAGGCGATGCCTAGGCGCCCCGCCCCCCCTGTCGCCTAGCCTCACCTTGGCGCCTTGAAAATTATGATGTATCGTATAGAGAGCTTCCCGATACACCCCTATAGAGGGTGTTTTGGGGTCTGAGCTGGTTCAGGGGGTAGAAGGGCCTTAAACCAACCCCTCTGAACCAGTTGCAAAAGAAAACTAACAAAAGAAAAAACAAAACTGAGCCACAATACAGGCAGATACGTCCCTATTATTATGAACCTTGACTCAAACCCACCCTATTGTTTTCATTTTACTAAAACACCCCCTATAGTTTACAACCTATTTACTTAACTGACCTTTCACTAAGAAGTGTTTGTTTTGCCATTTGAAAATAGTAAGATGCCATCTAAATTGAGTGGGAAATGTTCAAGGGCATGAGCCCATGATTGTTTATTCCAAAATTACCTCTAACACTTCTCCATACAGAAAACAAATTTGATCAAATAGAGCCAAATAGAGTGATTGCCCATGTCTTACCAGGGGCAAAAATGGTATTTTCATTTTTTTATTTTCTTTTGATTAAATTAATTCAAATGGATGTTAGGATCAAAACTGTCATTTTCCGCTGTCATCTAATGGAAGGTCGATTAAGTAAATTGAGTACAAACTAATAGGAGGTATTTTAGTAAAACACAAACTATAGGGTAGATTTAGTAAATCCATGAAACTATAGGAGGTGTTTTAGTAAATGACCCTAAAATTGATGCACAGAAATTCCAGAGGAAAGTCAAGTGAGACCACAGTAACTGCTGAAAGATTGTTGTAAATTTGGTATTAATGCAACTGATTAACAACCTTCATCTCTCCATTATCAGATCTTTATTGTTTGGTCTTCTGAAGTTAATGATTATTACAAAGCAGGAAAAAGAAAAAGAAAAAAAAAAAACTCTAAGAAAGGGAACATCAACATTAATGGGCTCTAAGGTAGTGGCCAAAGGGCTTCCTCCTCAGTAGATTTTGAAAAGAGGACGGGGGAATCACAAACGTCTAGACACTCCACTTAGACACATTTTATAAAGAAGATACTATTCCTGACATTCAACAGAATTATTACTATAATTTGATCAGCAACAGTGATCAAGAATTTTATTTATATAGCATGGAAAAGGAACCTCAACATTCCACTATTTTGAAATTAAGACTGAGGACCGATCAGTAGTTTAAAAAGCACAAGGGGCAATTTGCGCCCAAGGTGCAAGGTGCAAGGTGAGGTGCATGCCATTTCAAAGAAAGGCACAAAAATACAAAAAATGCCAATAAAATTCAAAAAAATGCAAAAATAAAATAAAATATTAAACATAATATTATATTATTAATAAAAATATAAACTTAAATTTTAAAAGAAATTCTTTAAAGAACCTGTTATCTATAATTAAAATACATAAACATAACATGTAAAGCATATTCAAATGAAAATTTAAAAACAAAATCAAACATTTAAAACATTTTCAAGCATGTAAAACCCACAATCTCTTTTTTTCCACAATTGCATTACTTCAAATAGCTAATGTGATGTAAAACATCTTGCATTCTTGATTCTACGAGCCGCCTTTGTACCAAACCCCTCAAGCCAAGCCCAAACAAGTCCATGTTAGGGTCTCAAATTCTTAATCCTTAAACAAAAAAAAAATTTGATTTTATAATTTTAATAGCCTTTTAAGAAGATATTTTATTAGGATGAATGAATGAACAACATTAGCAAAAAATAAAGGCACACACACACAAACACACACACACCTGGGCTGAAGCACGAGGAACACCAGGCTCACGCCTTTTGAAAGTGCTACACCTGAGGCCTAGGTGAGGCACACACCTTAAAATGCACCTCGCCTAAGCACCTAGGCACACCTTTTAATTCACTAGGACCAATATGAAAAGAAGAGGCTTACATAGAGAAATGAACCACCAAAACATCACTGCGTTGACCCTGGGCTTGTTGCCCCCAATACCATGTTCCCATTTTTTATAGGAAACGGTAACTTTCATTAATGTTTAAGGAGATTAAGAACAACTTTCACCTTCATAAGCAAGGTGACCCCTCAACAAAAATTACAGATACGCCCAATAAAGGTTCTCCCTACTAACTCCTTGCGTTGCTTAAGTATCAGCCATCGCATTGGCTGATCTCTAATGCAATGGCTGATAATCATTTGAAGATCTTGTGATCCATCATCCATGTCAACAAGCAATTTAGATTAGCTGATAATCATTTGCTTCTTACAATAAAAAAATCTAAGGAGCCAGGGGCATTCCATTCTAGCCAGTGTTTCGTAATTCAGTGACCCAGATCAGAAATCAAACAATCTGGACTAAGCTGGTCAAATACCTGGTAGAATTGACTATTCAAATGATTGACCTTGACCAGGTCAACACAAAAAAGAATTGCTAAACTCAGCCTGGGTGTTGGATACCCAACTCATTTATGTTTTAGAACTTCAGAAGACAAAAACTAGATAAATGGAGAACTTAAGAACGAGAAAGAACCAATAAATCATCCTATCCAATCTCAGCTTTTCAACTTATGTGATCCAGCAAAAAGCAAAAGGACTGCAACATAGTTGTCAAGGCGGGGGACGCCCAGGCGACAAGGCGCCCTTGGAGTTTCGCCTCGCCTAATCGCCAAGCAATTTTCTGTAGCATATTATAACAAACTTTTATATTCTTATATTTTTTAGGTTATAATTATAAAATAGACATTTTTAAACAAAAATATTCATTTTGTGTGTTTATATACTAATTTCTTTTTGTTATTTTCTTATTTGTTAGGGTTTAATCAACACAAACATTGCTAAATGCTGTATTGAACCCTCAAAGACTTCAAAACCTTAACCAATAAGTAAGAAAGAACATAAAATGTTGTCCAATCAACACATTTTCTTCTTTTTCTTTACTAATTTTGTGTTTTTATATACTAATTTCTTCTTCTTCGACCTTTTCTTTTCTTCTTTTCCGATAACAGAAATAGGGGTTCAGCCCCTATATTTTTTGAATTTTCTTTTCTTTCTTCTTTTTCTTCTCATGAATATGTTGGAAAATGTTGATTTTCTGTACTTTAACATGAAGTTTATATTTTTCTTATGAAAATTATGGATATTTATTAAGGAAATATGATTATGGAACCTAGGGAACTACCCTAGGATACATGTTTTTACTTTAAAAAAATCTATCGCCTAGGCGACTAGGCGTCCCCCTGTCGCCTAGCCTCGCCTTGGTGCCTGGAAAACTATGGACTGCAATGGAATGTTTTAGTCAGAACCAATGGTGGACAACAGTGAGATATATTGCTGCAGCCACATTTGGAAGGAAGAAAGTGCAGACAGTCATATATAGAGAGTGTTGCAAATAGGAAAAAACAAAGGAGAAAGAGTATTGCAGAGATAGAAGACAAAGAGACTAAGATGGTAATTCAGAGTGAAAGGTGAGTAGGAATTGTAATTATATGAGTTTTGGAATTTGAGACTGATAGAAAGGGAAAACAAGCATGAGTAGAAAAATAACTTGAATAACATGAATATTTATAATCATTGCCCCTGCCTCAACGTTTGGGAGTCATTGCATCTACAAATTACAAATAGCATTTCTACTTAGAATATATTTAAATTATTTAGTATTTGATATCAAGTCAACTCAGCAGAATCGCAACTCAACTTGGATCTACAACCTTCCAATACTAAGTTTCCAGGTTTTGAAACACTAGCTCTAGATATACCCCAGCCTATCACTTAATTATTGCCTTGTACCATCAAGCCATTCCAGCCCATAAAATACGGGCTAGTTTCAGGCCTTCGAGTAGATCCATAAGTTAAGTCCTTTGGAAAGTACCTTCACCAATGTTTTTCCAACATGGTCTCTAAAGGAAAACCTGGAAAACCTTCCTTTTATATCTTCCACTTGTCTTTCAAATAAAAAGATGATGCACTCATCCAAAAAGAAGCAAAATAAACATTGCTGAGGCAGAAAATTACCTTCTATAGAGACGTTTTGGATTGATGTTTTTCCTAAGAATCACTCTTTCATTAAGTCCACCCCAGTATGGAAGTGTTTTTAAGTCAGGGCAGAAGCGACTAATCTCATCAGCCCAGTTGTTCAAAACAGAAGCAGGTGCAACAACAAGAAAAGGTCCCCATATATTTTTCTCCTACACAGTACAGCTAATTCAATTATTATAAATGAATACCATAGTTAAAGAAACAAAATTGTTAATTAATTACTAATTACCTCAGCTAAATGAGCCAAGAATGCCATGGCTTGGATGGTCTTTCCCAGACCCATTTCATCAGCAAGTATACCATTTAAACCCTGAAGCACAGAAATAGAAATTCTAAAGATAAAAACCAAATACCATGTAATGTAAGAAGAAGAGAAAATTTATTTAAAGATTGCCTGCAACCTGCTCATAACAATTAACCAGCCACTGCAGACCCTTTAGTTGGTATTCTTTAAGACAGCCTTTAAACATCTCTGGTGTTTGCACTGATGATGCTACAGGCATAGTTGAGCTGAAAGCAATGAGAGGTCCAATGTCTTAGACCAATATCAGAGGATACATCCATCATTCAATACAAGAAAAAGAAGAAAACTCACGGGTGAAGGAGATCTATGTTGCTAGATCCTGCAATAGAGGCATCATTTGGAGGGCCTTCAGTTTCAGCTGCCTGGCGCAACTTTTCACATTCACTGTCAAATGCGCTTGTTATCTTTCTCTGCTGGGATACTGCTTGCTGAGCTGCTCTTAAAGCTTCCCTTTTCAATTCAGCCTCCTCAGGATCCTCTTCCTCTCCTGGCTTGACTTGTAGAGAGCCCAAAGCTGCTTCTTGGTCATTCAGTTCCCCATCTCCTGTAGGTAAAGCTTCTGATGGTTGTGAAGTTGACTTATTTTGCATGAAATGGCTGTAGAGCTCTGTCTGCGATAATAGAAAATTGAGCCTCTGTTGCTGTCTCTTCGCTTCTCGGAGCTCCTCTTCACGCTTCAGAGCTTCTGCAGCTTCTTTTTCCTCTTTCTTCCTTAGTTCTGCCTGAAAGTAGAGGAGATGGGAATAATGCATTTAATAAAATGATCTCGATCAAATTCTCTGGCTCCAGATGGCGGTGATTGGTTAATGGCCCTTTCGTCTCAGGGTTGTTTGATAACAACAAAGGTGGCTGAACTGAAAAGCTTATTGATTTGTCTTTTAGTAAATAGGTTTTTAAGGAGGATTTGGGCTCCCCGAGCCAAAGTTGGGTAGATTACTATACCATTGAATATTTTATTGTTTAATTATTCTATCCACTAAATGACAAAGTACTAAGTCATTCAGTTTGGCAACTACAGTGTTATCAAACAGCCCCTCAAATTCTCCGATATCATGCATATGCTTATTTAAAATCCTATAGAATTTCATCCAAAAGACATTGCCTATGTCCAATATGTAACAGGAAGGAATCCACACATTCAAAAAAAAAAAAAAGAACATGACAATAAGTTTAATATGTAGGTAATTATGATGTAAGGCAATTCCATATGAATGAAAGCTAGCCTGATTTTGAGTTTTTTGGCAAAAAAATATGTAGGTAATCATATACTTGCTTATCAAAAAATATGCGGGTAAATATATACTTGAGGCTTGGGCAATGCATGTAAGAGTTTTAGTTGGTAGCCAACCTCTTTGCTAGACACCATCCAATTCCAACCCAGAGAATTATCTTTTTTTTTCAAAATTAAACTTTTATCAGTAACCAAATCACGTACATGCATAGCTAGAAAACACAAAGATACACATGCATGGCTGCTGTTTTATGTGATATATGATATATGCACAAGTAGATAAGTGAAATATGGACACAAGGTCCTTCATCCTTAACAGACCTCTTCCTGGATCCTCTAATTTGTTATAGCAACTGGCCCAACTTAAAGCAAAGAGTGTTTAATTGGCATACACCTTTGGGTAAGATTAGATAAACAGTCTAACCTTTGGGTTGTGACAGCACAAATGTGGTTCACCAATTAATTAAATTGTCTAGAGTGATGATATAGCCAACCATGCAAATAGATAATTTAGAATATAGTTTTCAATGTGGATGATGGCAGTGTTTTAAAAGCGCAAAATGCAAAAAAAAAAACACAAGGGGCATTTTGCACCCAAGATGTGAGGCACAAGGCAAGGCATGCACCTTTTCGAAGCAAGGTGCAAAAATGCAAAAAAGAAGAAAAAATTAAGAATTCAAAAAATACCAAAAAATCAAAAAAGAGCAAAAAATAAGCATAATATTAATTAAAGATATAAACAAAATTTTTCAAATCAATGTTTTTAAAAAAACTAGTACATCAAATTAAAATACATAAACATAACAGGTAAAACATATTTAAAAGGAAAATTTAAAAATAAAATCAAGCATAACATATAATACATATTCAAGCAATGTAAACCTCTCAATCTCTTTATTTTATTTTATTTTTTGCCAATTGCATTACCTCAAATAGCTAACGTGATGTTAAACATTATGCATTCCTGATTCTATGAGCTGCCTTCTGACCAAGCCCCTCGAGGCAAGCCCAAAGGCCCCAAACAAGTCCATCTTAGGGTCTTAAAATTCTTAATCCCTATAAAAGAAACAGAAAAATGCGCAATTTTTCAAAAGGCACATGCCTGGGCAGAAGCACAAGGTGTACCAGGCACATGCTTTTTGAAAGTGCTGCACCTGGGACCAAGGTGAGGCGTGAATTTGATTATCTGAACACAATAGCTGTTCAGCGAGCTATGGAACCAATGATAAGGTCCCACACCAGTAAAATACATGGGACCCGCACCATGTAGCTAGTGCACCTTGTGCAGCAATCCTTGTTCTTGAGGTGCATACCCCAAAATGTGCCTCACCTGTGCGCCTAGGTGCACCTGAAGCGCACCTTTTAAATCATTGGGTCATGATGGTACCAAAACTCACAATAGAAGTCACAAAATAGGACCGACTATGATACTAGAAAGGTATGATACCTAAAAACATGATAACCAATCAACTAGTATCATAAAAGTGGTAACCAACCAGCTGCTATTCAACAAAATTCAGAGGGGGGGTTCTGATTGGTTAAAGTTCTTTTGGTATCATACCTTCTGACATTATAGAAATTTCCCTCAAAATATTTTCATATATAGGATGGTGGGAAAAAAATCATGGCACCCATACCCAGATTTAACCAACTTAAACAAGTCGGCCCTTAAAAACTTCTCAAGCTCTGTTTTCTTTCTGGGACCGGTAACCCTCCTAATAGCACATAAAATGACCCTATTTCAAAATTCAAATAAATGTACTGAAACACACATTGGGCCTTCAAGCACACAGGTCTTGCCAAATTAGCAAGAGTTTAGGTCAAATGAAGATGACTGTATTCAGGTTCATCATGTGCGTACTACATGCATTGGACTTCACTGGGAATTACAAAGATAATTTTTTCTTAATTGTTCTTATGGGAGAATACATTGATATTATCATATATCATATAGCCAATAAAAAATGATATATTATAACAAAAACCATAATGTCAAAACAAAACCCAGCTAATTCTAAAATATAGGAGAATAATACCTGCTCCTTATCCACTCTTTTCCAAAATACCAGCATATCTCTAGCCAATTTTCTAGTGCGGATTGCTGCTCCTCTCATCAATTTAAGTGACCTACTCACCTTCAATTTTACCTGGAAACAAATACCATCTGTGAATAAAGTTTATGGGGGAAATACTTTAAGCACAACAGAAAATTGAAACAACATCTACAGCTAGACTGCAAATTAAACTTCACGTGCCTCTCTTTGGCATGTTTCAGAGCACCTCTTGGCATCAGCTAGTTGTTTCCTATGAAAATTAGTAAAGATCTTGTGATGTTTAGGAATGTCTCTTCTCACAATATTTACCCAGACTTTCCCAATCTTTTCCATCTCCTCTTTCTCAATCAAGGCTTGATCTTTCTTCACTATTTGCTTCTTTGGCAACCTGCGTTCAATGATCTGTTCCCCAAAGATAAAACTTGAATTTTTCTTTTGAAAAAGTAAAGAGAAAAGTTGAAGAAGAAAATAACCAAGATGGTCACACAAGCTGTTATTAACACAAAGAAAATACTAACCTCATAAGTGTCTCCTTTCTCCAGCACCTTCACATAGCAAACCTGCAAGGTACCCGCCTCAGACATAATAGACCGTTGTATTCCTCCAGCTGCCCCCTCTGGTATGGAAGATGAATCCAACCCAATATCACAAACCTGGAGATTGAACTTCTGAACTGAATTACAAGCTGACAGGGCCTTTAATCTCGCCTGAAGTGATTCATACTGGGGCTGCGGCTCACCCATCCCCGCCCGGCTTCGTGGCCCTAATCTTCTATCAGAGGCTATCATTGCAGCTAGAGACCCCAAATCGAGTGTACCCTTTAAGTAATACTCCTCCACACGAATATCTGAGAAGCTAGGCAAGTTCAAGGAAGTTGCCAGCTTATCATAAGTAGGAGGAATCCTATAAGTTATCCCCTCACCGAGATCTAAATAAGCAGAATCAATGGAGGAGGAGAACTTATCAGTCCCATATTCTGGTGTTAAATCTGACTCATAGTAGCTTCCAGGCTTAAGAGGACTAATGTCATTGTGATATTCTGATGGGTTTTCCATCCCATGTAACACTTTGTCTTCAGTAGCCAATTTCCGACCCTTGGAACCAAGATTACGCTTCAGAGCTGGCATTCCCATTCGGGTTGCTGCTGGATTGGAGGATGAGTCTTTGAACCTCACCCTCCTGTACTTCTGAATGTGCTCTCCAAGCATTGATCGATATCGCTCCTCCGTAATGTGTGTTCTGTAATCACCGTCTTCTTCCTCGTCGTTACTGTCAGCGTCTCTCCTAGCAGAAGAATTTGAACCAGCCTCAGCCTCAATGCATGCCCGTCTCTTCTTCTTCCTCAGGCCCACTTCAGAAGACCTCTCTAACAAAGTCCCATTCCCATGGTCCGCCATGGCTCCCCTACCTGTTTAACAAGCAACAGACAACCAGCATTGTGGACGTAACTCAACAATTGTCTGCCCCAAATCCTCCACACCAGCCCAATTGGGGGAAATCAAGTAAAAAGGTACTAATGAGTAATGACGCTAAAAAGAGCAAGGTTAATTGCAAAATATCAATATGCATTCAAGCCTAGAAACAAATGAATAGTCCTGATTTCCTGTCGGAATCTCAGAACATTTTTTTAAATGATAAGTTAATATATAGAAATCAACAATCTAGAAAAAATAGTGCCTACCTTGGCTATCTCTGCTCTCATCCTGACTACTATTCCCATAATTATCAAAATCATCATCTTGTTGAGGAAGTTGAAAGTTCATCAAAGACTACAATACAGCAACCCAAAAATAAAAACAAAAATAAAATACATAAACGTAAACCTCAAATTGATCAAGAAGATATATAAAGGAAACAGAAAAAACAAACAACACAAACACACACCCACCCCATAAAATCCAATTAAAATAAACTTTTAAAACGTATTTTCTCACAAACCCTTTTAAGCCCTAAAGGAAAAACGAGAGCTTTTGCCCCAATACCTTGTTCAGATCAGAAAACAAGTAGAACCCATTTCGAAGGAATAAAAACCCATATGACTAACCTCAAGGTTGAACAAATTGGAGTACGACAATCCGTTCTTCGAGTGGCGCTTGTGCTCCATCGATTAGGGTTGCAGTCTCTGCAAGACGAACCCCAATAACCGAAACCCTAGTTTCCGAAGGAGAATACAAAGTGAGATTCCTGAGCTTGTGAGAAAAGAAAAAAGAAAGCCTGGGGGACAAAGAAGATCTGAAATCGCATGGCTGGGTGGGAGTGCGCAGGATAAGTAAGAATAGAAGTGAGTTGTGGAAGATGAGAGAGAGAGAAAGAGAAGAATCGAAGAGACAGACGGTAAACAGGAAAGCAGTCCAAGGGTGCTAGCGTGCGCCGCTGCGTAATGTTCCTTAACCTGTACTACGTGTTCCATACGTTCGATCGCCACCAAGCTCCAACATCAACATTGCTCTCAGAAACAGAAACAGAGCTTCACAAAACAATACGCCTCTGATGTGATAGAGCTACGGTCTATTACAGCTGATGGATCCTCTTTTAAGATAATAAATACTACAGACCGTTAAAATTTCAAATATATTAGGATCAATGGTCAGCATAAAAAGCTGGGAGTGAATATATTTATTTTAAATAGAGTCCTGATTGGGTAACCCACGATCTGACGTGGCTAAATCCCTGCAGACGTGGCAGATCATCAGAATATCTCCTACTGAAATTTTGGCGCAATGAAGGGTTAGAGCATCATCTAGAAGACAGAACTATTCAGCCTAGAACTGCTTTAAGTCTGTTTTGCAAAATTTAGGCTGCGTTTGGACCTTAAATTGAGGTATAAGTACTTCTGAGCAAGTGTTGATGAAAGAAACACTTTCTGAGCGTTTGGTGAGATACTTTTTCAACCAATTTTTTGTTTTTTTGTAAACCCAAATTCCCGAAAATGCAGATTTTACAACCAGTCTTTTTATTTATTATTTACTTCTGCTAAATGAGCTTGTACTACTTTTTCGGAATCAATAAGCCCATCTGTGGCTTTTTTAACCAAACGCTTTTTTTTTTTGTGTGTGTGTTCTTTTAGCTTCTCAGACACAATAAGCCGCAAAAGCACTTTTTAAAACTCCCCCTAAGACAGCCATTTGATGAATATATTGTTAACGAGGACGTAGTGACAAGGACAGATTCTCTTGAGGCTGGGCAATAAATATTGGTAGCCTGATCTTTGAGGCCAAGTTTTTCAATTTGCCAGGTGGCCACTCTTTAGCCACGTTGGACTGAAGGTGACTGAGCCGCTTCTCATTTTCCTTTTGATTTTTTCTTTTTGGGATTAAAGCTAATATTAAAGGTGCCCCACCAATTATTGATTTGAAATGTTCATGCATAAGATGTAGTAGTAATGTTTCACTTTAGTTTTTAAGAGAAATCCGAAGGACAATTTTTCATTTTATTTTGGCTGGTTTGGACGTATCATGGAAGAGAATTTTTAAATATCAAAAGCAAAAATGAGCAAATTTCTATTTTTTAACTACTTTCGTGTATGAAAATGAAAGGGTCTTACACTCATCACCACAAATCTGATCACTTTGGATTCCCAACCCTTGGTGGGTATTTGTCACTATATATGTTTTATATAATACTGATGGATATTAAAATCCCTCACTATATGTCTTATAAATTACTAACAAAATCATTATTTCATCGATATAGGTCCATACTATACTAACAGAATTTATATTCCCTTCCTATACATAAAAATCAATATTTTAAAAATTGACCATAAACCATTTTTGCCTTCAGGTCATGGATCACTAGTTTAACCAGATCAGATTGTTGCATCTTAGCATATTATTAATTATTTTATGTATAATTTATATTCTTGTTTCAAATTTTAATTTTTTATTTATAAAATACTAAAATTTTAGATATTAGACCAAAAATGCTTTTTTTTTTTTTTGCAAAAGTAGCAGGACAATGTGCCTTTGGCCCTTGAGACGTATTTATCTTAAGATGTTACCAAAATCAATATAAAGATCACCTCAATTAAATTTTAGGCAACCAAAGGCAAAATTATGACCTCCAAAAGTTTCAAATACATTTTAGTGTGTAACCAGTGACTTGGTAATCGGGCTTTAACCACCTAGGTCAATAAGTTTTGACCAAGTTAATAGTTTTTGTCAAATACCAAGTTTTAGGGAAACCAGACTTGGAGTTGTGATCAGTGACAATTTGAACAATTTAAGAATCTAGGTCAATTGGGTTGAAAACATTTATATAATTAAAAACAAATATATCTATATATATATGTATATATATAACTTTAATTATTATAACTTTGATCATTAAAATCATGACCTATGGGGCATTCTAGTAGTTTTTAGTCTGGTTTAAATCAACCCGTGACTTGGTGGCTAGGTCAAACGATCAATGGTTCAGTTGCTCGGGCCAAAGGGTAGTTTTATTGACAAAAAATAAATTCCATCACCATATGGTTTGCTATATGCCTTTTACCATTGGTTTTGACATTTCTGTTAGTATAATTCAAAGAAGCAAAGCATGGAGATTGCGCAGATCATGAGCAGCTAAGCTTCTTTTTTCTGGTTCAAGGGGGGAGGTTCGATTGTGTCATTGTGAGGTTCTGTAGTTA